AAAAAAAAAAAAAAAAGTAAAAATGAACACAGACCACAGCGAGCAGCAAGCGGTCATGATGGGTCATAGGTCGTTTGGAGGTGCTGGTGCGTCCGTGGACTCCAGAGGGTTAAATCAGGTTTTGATGGTTATAGAAATGTTCTGTGATGATGATGATGATGGCAGTATGTAACACATGTTTCGATCTGATAAACACACCTGATGTCTGATCCTTGAAGACAGTCGTCAGAGATGGACGCTGCGTCGTTAACACTGACCTCAAGCTTCGGCTTTGGGATCCGATGCTTGGAAACTGCTGAACTCCTCTTCAGTGGGTCCTGTGGACGTGTCACTGCTGCCACCCAGACACAGCCTAATGTTCCTCAGCTGTGATGCAGAAACACTCGTTCCACACCCAAGGATCCACTGAGGGGACGACAGCGATCAGATGACACCGGGCTGTGGTTCGGTAAACTCCGGGACACCTGCTGCTGTTTTTCAGTTTATAAGACACCAAGTTCAAATCCAGCTGGACACAGGTAGCTGGTTAAAGAAGTGTTTGTGTTTATTGTCTTACTGTTTGTAAGGTGCTTTTTAGAGGATGTAGAAAATCCATTTACTGCAAACATGTTAAACAGCAGCTCGACAGAATAAATAATTCTGATAAAATCACATCAGTTTAACATAAACAGGTGTAAACGTAACCAAACCGTTGGTGTTATTTTAACATGAGGCGACTGCAAAGAGTTCACGTGAATGACAAACACACAAATCGTGTTGCTATGAAAGTTGTGCAGTTATACAACAAAGATTAATGTTGACTAAACTTTATTTCATGTTAATGGAGCAGATGGTTTTTGTCGATGCAGAACAGACCGACCGTCTGCCAAAGCAACGCCAGAGTTTATCACCACAGACACGGGAACATTGCTCAGTCAGCTGATCTGAAGCCAGCGAGCGTTTCACTGAAGACAGACATGTCCACAAACAAACAGCAGCTGAGCCGCTGCAGTAAAGAGCAAAGAAGCACATGGTAACGTCCATGAGCTGTCAGCGTCAGCAGAGGGTTTTATTTTCACTTATCTTTGGTTACTTTAGTATGGAAGCCCGTTCCCGCCAAAAAACCCAAGTATCCACAAGTCGAAATGTCGAGTTAGCTCTGCCAATCAGTAATCTACGTGAATGAGGTCACTTTCTTGTTACCCGGGAGCATATGGTGCAAAGTAGCGCGCATTCAAAACCGGATCGCAACAAATTGGCGCTTTGGCGAGTACGTTTGCTGATACGCCGTGTGTGCAGCTAATAACACAAGGACTTCATCATTTGAAGCCAAGCTGACAACACTCAGCAATCTGTGCCTTCATGACTGGATGTAGCTGCAGCATTTGTACCTGAGGGCTTCAGCTTCCGGGTAACAAGGAAATGACATCATTCACGTAGATTACTGATTGGCAGCGCTAACTCGAAATTTCAAGAAAATAACTCAAAATTTTGAGTTATGGATCCTTTTCCCCCTTAGTGGCAGAAACAGGCTTCCATACCCTGGAGCCCTGAAGTGACGGCGTTGTTATAAAGTCTGCAGCTCCTCAGTTTCCTGTGTTTGACTCACCGAGTCAAAGCTGAACGTCTGCACGTCACCTGCATCTCCAGAAAACCGTCTGCATCCTAATAGCCGTGGACCTGCCTGTACAAACGATGAGCCGCCCTCATGGTGAAGCTCGTGTGTGTAAAACCATCAGCCATCAAACCCCTAACCCTAACCCTGGACAGAGGATCAGGGAGCTGGACCGAGGTCGCCCGGCCCACTTTAATCACTTAGTGGTATTGAGCACATTGCAGCGCCACCTGGAGGAAGAGACCGTGATCTGCAGAGCGGCTCTTGGCTGTACTTTGACTGAACTTCTGCTCAAACATGATGCTGACCTCGTGGATCAGATGCTACGTCCATAAACTGGGATGTTTGCAGTGTTACAAAGACGTGTGCGGTCCTGTGGCGGATACTCTAAAAACGAGACACAGCGTCTTTGCTTTTCTTTCCTTCTGTGTCACAAACCTGACGATCGGCGTCGCTGCGCCGCTGGGAGCGAACGTTACCGTGAGTCCCGAACTGGTAACTGTTGAACGGACAGCTTCTGATCTCGACCACAGACGGGACATCAGCATCGACACACACACACACACACACACACACACACACTCACACACACCGTGTTTCCACACGTCTGAGTGACTTTTATTACATTCTATCAAAGAACTGGTGATGATGGCCGCTCGTATAAATACAGGCAGGAACACGTATGAACACGATGTCTGAGCTGGCGCTTTCTGCTGTGGATGAACCACGCACACGCTTCCCGTCCTCACGCACACACGCTTCCCGTCCTCACGCACACGCTTCCCGTCCTCACGCGCACACGTCCCGTCCTCGGGCCTTGTGATGGCGTCTTGTCTCACATCTGCGCTTTTCAACAGAACATT